GCGGGGCCTGAGAGGGTGCAGGACGCCTGCCGTGGGGGCCAGGACTCTGCCCCATCCTGGGCCTCAATTCCCCTGCCAGGGGCTCTGGCCCCAGCCCCGGCCCCGGCCCCGGCCCCGGCCTCAGCCTTCATGAGGCCCAGGCCACCTGCAAGTGCCCACCCTTCCCTGTCCCGGCCCCCAGTCTCCACCGAAGAGCCCTGAGCTCGGGCTGAGCCCAGCCACCTCCCGAGGACTTTCCAGTAAGGAAATGGCAACGAGTGGAGGTGAAGTCCCTGTTCTCAGCTCTGCCACTTGTGGGGCCCTCGATGGCCCCACTGCCACCCTCACTGGCATGCTGGCCCCCGGCAGGCTTCGCACCCATGGGGAGGAGAGCTGCATGGCAGGGCCCAGGCCGCAGGAAGAGGAGCTTCCCGGCCAGCCCAGGCCGGCCCGTCCCGGTCCTGTCACCCTGGCCCCAACTATTAAAGTGCCATTTCCTGACTGGACCTGAGCCAGTGCATCTCCGCGGACCCCCTTGTGTCCGGCTGCTTCATGTCCCAGGAAAGCCCGAGGCTGTGCTGCACAGAACAGCTTTATAAGGGGTCCCCATCACAGGCGGGCATCGTAGTAGTACTCGGCCATGTCTGGTCCGTCCCGCTTGCGCTGCTGGGCTTGCGACAGGAGTGGACGAGGCCCTCGTGGCCATGGGTGCTTGGGGCGGATCCCGTAGTCTAAGAAGAGAGGAGGGGGATGGGAGCAGAAGCTGGTGCAGATGGGCTGCAGTCACCCTTCAGCAGAGGCTCTGGATCGAGACCCTGAGTCTGGCCCTGGTGCCCTCTGCCACCAGGGAAGGGTGCGGCGGGGAGGGGACAGGAGGGAGTGAAAACCTACCATCCACCAGGCCGGAAAGTGGCTGTGCGAGTTCCAGGGGGGCTGCGAATTCCTCAGGGACAGACCGCTGAGACCTGTGGAAATGCTGAGTGCTCAGCCCTGGCCTGGGGCCACTGCCGCCTGCCTGGGCACGGGGGACTTGATAGGCCTCCCACACCCAGGATGCCGGGGTGGGCAGGAGGGGTCTGGGGCCCTCGGAGTTACCGCAGAGGCTGGGGGCCGAGGACGGCAGCTACCAGGATGAGGTGGAAGAGGAAGAGGCTGAGCCTGGCCCTGGGGTGCAGGGCCCCCAGCATGGCAAGAACCATCTCCAACCAGTCCTGCTCCAGCCCTCTGCTGCCCCTCCCCCGACAGCAGCACGGAACCGCTGCCCCTGCCTTCCGGGGCCACCTCACAAAGGGCATTAGCTCAGGCCCTGGCGGTGGCACCTGCTCTGGGGCGAGGCCAGGAGCCTCCATGCCCAGGTGGTTTTGTATGTCACTGACACGTGGGCCAACAGGCGCCAAGCCAGATCGTGCTCTGGTGTTCAGGGGCACGGACCTTGGGGCCAGCTCTCGGTTTGTCGTGACTATGCCCCTGGCTAGCCAGACAAATGTCACTCTCTCTGTGCCTCAGTTTCCTTATCTAGTGTGCCAAGGTCGTGCACAGGAAGCAGCAGGTCTCGAAGTCCTTCCCACGTGGAGCCCCAGCTGGCCCCTTGGTCTTCTCTCCCCTCCCACTGGTTCTCAGCAGTCCCAGGAAGGTCCTGCCAAGTGGGTCACTTGGCCTGACCTGCTCAGAGCCACCAGGAGTCACAAGCCCCTCGCATCCACCACCCGAGGGCCTTCCCCACCTGGCTCCCTGCAACTCCCACAGCCCGATACAGGGCCCCCCACCCCCACCCTCGAGGCTGGTGGAGGGTTCCCAAGGGAGGTGCCAAGGGTTGGGCCTGCTCCTCCAGGGTGGGCGTAAGGGAGGGCCATTTTGTTCACTTCGATACCCCTCGTGTGCCCGAGGTGGCACTGTGGCCGCCACAGGAAGACTGCTTCCAGGTCAGTGACGAGGGAACCCAGCCCACTGGACAGCGCAGACCGGGCTCACGTCAGAACTGCAGGCGCTTTAGAAACAAAACTGGTGGGGTGGGGTGTTGACAAGGCCTGAGTCCCAGAGCAGCGGCTGGAAAACTGGGCACGTGTTTGCGCGCATGCCCCAGAGCCCAAAACCCTGGATGGCAGCGTGGCCCTCCCCCGGCGCCTTCTCACTGTCTCTCCCAAGCACACGTGCTCCGTGGCAAAAAAAATCCAAATCCCTGGCCCCAGTGCCACTCTGTGGGGTCATGAGGACGGGGCCTGGGGTCCACAGTCCTGGTAACCCAGGTGCTTGGGAGACCGCAGGCCTGAGGGCTGGCCCAGGCCATCTCCACCCCGGCCCTGGCCCCACTCCTGGTCCCGAGTGTCCTGAGGGCAGTAGGTTCCGCCGTCCCTTCGGCTCAGCCCGCTCCGTGCTGAGCCCACACGCCAGCTCCCCGTGCGCACCTCCCCTCACGTCCCCTGCCTGAGCACTGGGTCTCCATCTGCGATCCCCAGGAACTGGATTCTGCCCGTCTCCGAAGCCCCTTGGCCCACATGTTCCTGGAAGCCATGGCCCTCTTCCTCCCCAAGGCCTGCTGGGGTTACACCTCGTCTCCCACAGTCATTGCCTTAACTCGGCCCCATCACAGGTCTCTGCCCACGAGTCTGTCCCTGCTGAGGCTGCTGGAGCGTGTCCAGGAGCACGAGCCCTCCGGGGCCTCCCATGGACCAGGCCCGAGCGCCTTGCCCAGGTATCTGACGCCCGCTCCATCTGACCCTGCCCTGTTCTGCCCCGGCCACAACAGCACCTCATACTGTCCAGTGCCACGGGGACCGCAGCACGCCTGCGGCCCAGACTCACAGACAGCTGAGCAGTCCCCAACCTGCCCAAACGAAGGCTTGCTCACCCGACACTGCCTGCCGGCCCACCACTAGACCGCTTTCTGGACACTTACGCAGCGCCCCCAGGGTAACGCACGCACCTGCCCGCCTGTCCCCTCCACTAGTGGGCAGAGCTGGCGGGTGAGAACTGTGCCTCAGTCATCTGACTGCCCTGCACATGGCACAGGGCCTGGGTCAGAGCACGGGCCCGAGGCACTGACAAGGCTCAGCTGAAGGTCACGAGCCAGGGCTCTGGTCCTGCCCAAAAGGCCAGCCCTCCCCTTCCCCCCTGTAAGTGCCTCTGTCCCCCAGCCCAGGACCCAGGGGACATGTCAGGGGAGGCTGGTCCTTCCCAGGGTGGCTCTCCACGGAGCGGGGCAAGGCAGAGGACACAGGGGCCTCCACAACCCAAGGGGTGCCATGTGGTTTGTGACCCAGCAGGAGAGCTTGCTGTTCAGAGGGCACAGGAGGCAGGGGCAGCTGAGATGGGCAGGGTCTGGTAGAGACCAGCCCGCAGCCCACGCCCCACACGGCCCAGGCCCTGCCCTCCACGGTAGCCCTCATGGATGCAGGCTGACTTGGGCCCCCAGGAACTGAAAGGGTGTGGGGGGGAGATCCCACCCCCTACCCCCAAACTTGCAGCTGGCTTTCTCCCAGGGCTGCCTGACATCCATCCCCTTCAGAAGAAAAGCTTTTTAGTCTTGACCGGGAACTCGGGCTTGCAATGCAGCTGGCCTCACCACCCACCAGGCTGCGTGTGGTCCAGGCAGGATGGTGGCATGGTGGCCGAGGGCAGCTGGACGGGGGAGGGACAGAGGCCCTGGCCTGGGAGACCTATTGGACCCACTGCTAAGGTCCAGCAAGGTCCATCTTCCCCAGGGACCAGTGAGAGAAGCAGCTTATTCCTGTAGCTGCCTCGGCACGCAGGTCCCCATGCTAGAGGTTAAGTCCCATCTTTCTGTGCCCAGAGGAACCCGGATGGCAGTCCTGGTGCAGTCTCGGCCCAGCGCAGGCGGCAGTGGCTCCATGGCCGGAGGGGGAATCCACTGTAGGTCTGAGGAATGCTGGTGGTGACCAGGGCTGGGTGCAGGGCCCAGTTGGGGAGGGGCCAGGCACGCTGGGCGGTGGGCACGCAGAGGCCACATGCTAGAACAGTGCCAGAGTCAGTTTTATTGGGGAGGTGGGGTCTGGGGGGCCAAAGGGATGAGGCAGTCCTTGCTCAGAGTGGCAGAGCACACTGCCCTGCCCTCCCTGCACCCCACTCCCAGGACGTCTGTCAGCCCCAACTGTAAAAATAAATTTTCTGCCAGGTGGGCAAGTACTCCATGAGCGGCCCTGCAGGAGAGAGGAAGAAGTCAGGATGCGGGCAGACCCAGTCTGCTGTTCTTGGGGCTTCGCAGCCACTGCCCTCAGCACAGCCAAGAGCCAGCAGGGCAGGAGCCCCTCCCCTACGACAGGGTCCAGGCTCCCACCAGATGAGATGGCCTCAGGGTGGCCTAAAAGGCCCTCCTCTCTAGGGCACCCGCCCTCCAGCCAGGCTTGGCTCAGTCCCAGGAGCTGTCACCCACCCAACCCTGACCTCCAGGCTCCCTCCCAGCTGTGCCAAGAATCAACTACAAAGCGACGAGGCCACACAAGTGCCCTACAACATTCCAGTCCTCACCCGCCCACCGGTACCTACTCGTGACCAGGCCGATGCCAGGAACGTGGTCTGCCAACAGCTGGAGCAGGAAGAGGATCTTGGCCCTGTGGGAGACGATAAACGGGGAGTAGTCTGGGTGAGGGTGCAGCTCCTGCAAATGAGGCAGCTGAAAGCACCTCCGCTGCCCCCTGGACTGGGAAACACCGCCCCCGTCCCCCCAGACTGAAAGCTGACCCTTCAACTGAAAGCTGCCCACTGAACTGAAAACTCTCCCCTGGACTGAACATGGTGCATCCAAGGATCGGGTCACTTCTGGGGGCTCAGACGGACTAACCCATGGCCACAGCCCTGGGATTCTCAAAGCTCAGCCTTGGGATTCAGCTCACTCCCGTCACCTCAGACACCGTCTTTTCCACTCTCTCTCTTTTCCTTCCATGGAGATTCAATGAATGCTTGGAAGGCCCACATATGGAGCAGCGCCAGGGCGGGAGGTGGAGGGTCAGGGCTGATGGCCCAGCCCTGCCCCGAGGAGCCTATATCTGGCACAAGAGCTGGGCCACAAAGAAGCTTCATGAGCCACCCTTGAGGTAGCCAGGCCCTGGGCAGGGACACAATGCCAAGAAGGGCACAGTTTGCTTGGAGGAAGGGGCAGGACCAAGACTGTTTTTTTTTTTTTTTAATTATTTAATTTTATTTATTTGTTCATGTTAATTTGACCAGAGAAAGACACACACACACAGAGAAGGAAAGTGAGAAAGCCACCAGTTCTGGGACTCGAACCATAGTCAGCCATGTGGAAGTGTCCAGCACCTTAACCACCATATCACCTGCAGGGCC